TGGGACGAAACTGTTTTAGTCAGGCCGGCTGTAGCCATCGGAAAAGGCAGGCAAAAGAAAGAAAGACAGGGGTGGGACGGACAGACGGACGGACAGACCGACAAGGTTACAAGAATAGGGAGCGGGAAATACTTTTGCTTTTCAATCAATCATCTGCGCAGCTCGCCTGGCTGTTTGCAAACCATTCGCTGTGTTTCGTTCTCGGCAGAAATGTTTACCTTACGTCTAATCGCGAGGGAGAGAGGCGGTCTGATCGTGCGACAGATCCAGTCAGTGTCGCAGGTCGGCAGGTATTGCCCAATCAAGGCGCGAGTTAATTGTGTCACGCTTTTGGATATATTTGTAATTTTGGCATAGTTAGGTCGAGTCAGAAAGGTAGGCACGGTCGGTACGATTGGAGGAAACTGTATTAGACAGGCCGGCTGTAGTCATGCGAAAAGGCAGGAAAAAGCAGCAAGACGGGGAATGCGACGGACTGACGGACGGACAGACCGACAGGTTATAAGGTTAGAAGCGGGAAACTAGCGGTCTGGGCGCCCGCTCCGCGGACGCTAGGGCATGGTTGGTTGGTGTAGTGCGGGCTGACCACCTTCGCTGCGCTGCGGTGGGCTTAGCTTGTTTAACTCAAAGCAACATAAAATATATATTCCGTGTTCTATATATGTTATGATCCAAAACAACACCGCACACAATATCCTGAGTGCTCACATATTATAGTAGACATGACCAGGGTTTAACGTGATCTGACCATCTTACCCGGGAGGTTTCGTCTATAGTCTCATTTGAGCGCATAGCTCCCACAATGACGCCAACCGGAGGCGCGCGTGGTTGCAAATGTAATATATGCTGTTCAGAAGACGGGTCAGTATCCATGATGCTACGGAATTGGCATAGATCGGTGAGGAATCCTAGTTTGGGGGTCTAAATACGCCTCCTCAAACATAATACCATATGTCACGTCATCGCGGTGAGGCAGTCGACACCATATCTTTAATTGCGACGGTCTATTAGAGCAAGGTTTGGTCGGCTCCTCGCGCAAAGTATCTGTTAGGACAGGTACTATTTGCTAATGATCGCCCCAAACACCAATATTATGCCTTGAAATTGTCCCGCTGAGCTCTTTATGATATTACCGAAGAGTCTTTCCACTATCTTCCGCTTGTATTAATCTTGCATGTATAGCTGACGTATTTACTGACTGATTTGCACAGCTACTGCTTGACCGAGTGGCGTAGATCCTTTCCGATTGGCATTTACTGGTTCCGATCTGTATGACGAACATACGAAGCCACATGGCTGTAGACAAATTATCAGATCATAGATATCTTAGGCTTGAATCGAAAAGTAGATCATGTACATTAGATAAAGTACTTTCGGTGTCTAGCTAGCAGCCCGGCGTGCTATTGGATATGTCCGTGTTTATTCCGCAATGTCGCGAATGGTGTGGTCGTGATAACCAACACCCATGTATTGGGTCACTGCTGCAATCTCGGTACTTTCGCATCGTCGTGCTCGCTTACAGTACTAACGCTTATTATGCATCCGACTATATGATCAAGCGCGTCGCTGAGTAGGCACAGGTCATACCCGCGGTAATGCAGGCAGCCTGATACAGGCCGGCTGACCAGGCTTCTGTTAGCAGTAGGAAAAACAATATATACGCGCGCGGCAGGTACACATTATAGCCACCCGCGACTCAACCGAGCTCTTATCTCGACCATTATGGACAGGACGCTAAAGTAAAGTACTGCGTACAGACAGTTCAACTTACCACACCCACCGGTACTGCGTACAGACAGTTCAACTTACCACACCCACCGGTATGGTTTGCACTACCGCACACGTGCTCGTATCTATGTAGACAGCAAGTTAATCGTCGTGTGTAGTGCTCACTCGATACTGTAGTTTCGATTTGTGAGCGCACATTAATGCAACGTACGCTGTGAGCGCTGATGGCACAGATATCATGGTTTGCATCTTACCCCCCTAGTGGAGTGTGGTGTGCGTCTGTCAGTCCGTCCGAGGGTAGGGTTCTAAAATGTAACGCAAATACGCGCGTTCTACTGGCTGCCGAGCGCAGCGAAGGCGGCCTCAATTGGCTAAGATAGGCATTGTGTTTTGTACACACTGTATGTGGTCTACACATCGTACTTAAAAGCACCGTTCAAATTTCATTTTGCCCTCATTTCTAGCTGCGGAGAGCCACGACACGCATAGGGCGCTGCCTGTGTACGCGTTAATTAGCATTAGTGGAAGGCGCCGATGAGCACACACGTACTTTATCGTCGTAGGATCTGTTGAAAAGAATTGTAGGCCCTGGGGACCTATAACTTGGCTTCAATTGGAATTTTAGTACTTAATGGGTATAATATGATTTGTTTTAGCTTCGTAGTACTTCTGTAATAATTTAGCTTACAATAGTATGATTTGTATTACTATTATAAAGCTCTTTCATATTTTTGCTTGCAGTCATTTGTAGTAGTAGTACACATAAAAATTATATCAGCGTTTAATAATAAATAACAATTGTATTACTATTATTAATAATGTACAAACTTTAAAA